TATTGTAATGGAGTTTGGCTTGGACAAATGTGCCACACTTACTATCAAACAAGGAAAAATAGTGAAAACTGAAGGAATCAAGATGCCCCACGAAAATAACATTAAGAGTCTGGATGAGGAAGAGTACTACAAATACTTGGGTATCCTTCAAGCTGACAACATCAAGCACACTGAAGTCAAGAAAAAGATTAGAGGTGAATACATCAAGAGAGTGAAGAAGATCTTAAAATCCAAACTCAATGGAGGAAATACCATAAAGGCAATCAACACCTGGGCAATCCCAGTCATTAGGTACACAGCTGGAATAGTGGACTGGACTCAAGCAGAACTAAAAGCAATGGATAGGCAGACCAGAAAAATAATGACAATGAATCATGCCCTTCATCCACGCAGTGACATTGATAGACTTTATCTACCAAGGCAAATAGGTGGGCGTGGAATGCTACAAGTACATCAGATGGTTGAAGAAGAAAAAATGGCTTTGGAAGAATATCTGAAGAACAATGATGAAGATGCACTGAAATTAGTATATCAGGAAGGCTTACTAACTACTGGAGAGACCAAACTGGCCTACAAGAAAGACCAAATGAAGAACAGAATAGAGGCATGGGAAGACAAAGCACTACCTGGCCAATACATTAAAAAAATAGCTGGGAAAGCAAATAATAATAAAACCTGGCAATGGCTAAGAGCAGGAAAATTGAAGAAAGAGACCGAGGAATTAATTCTGGCTGCACAAGACCAAGCCTTAAGGAGGGGGAGGGGCAGACCCAAGGCATTCCCACATAATAATAATAATAATAATAATAATAATAATAATAATAATAATAATAATAAAGCTGTTGCAAGAAGATTGCACAGACTGATTACAAGCAGCGGCATGACAAAGTAGCAACAATGGTGCATTGGAAGATCTGCAAAAAATATCATTTGCCTGTAAGCAAAAACTGGTGGGATCATAAAATAGAGAAAGTCATAGAAAATGATAAAATTAAACTGCTCTGGGACTTCAGAATTCAAACAGACAAGCACCTGCAACATAACACCCCAGACTTAACAATTGTCGATAAGAAAGACAAAAAAGTCTGGATAGTGGACGTGGCAGTGCCTGGAGACAGCAGAATAGATGAGAAAGAACTGGAGAAGATAACAAAATACAAAGACCTACAAATAGAAATAGAAAGACTGTGGCAAAAGCAAGCAAGGGTAGTACCAATAGTCATAGGCTCCTTGGGTGCAATCCCAAAACAACTGGAGCACCACTTGAACACCATTGGCATTGACAAATTCGCTATTAGTCAATTGCAAAAGGCGGCCTTACTAGGAACTGCTTCCATCCTGCGACGATACTGTAATACCATCAAACATCCACATCTGCCTATCCCAGGTCCTGGGTAAGGACTCGATAGGTAGACAAAATGCCAAATCCAGTCTGAACATCTGGCTGACTGTGCGATGATTGATAATAATAATAAAAATTGGAAGGGACGGAAACCCTATACTATGTCAGACAAATGGTTGTCCAGTCTCTTCTTAAAGACTTCCAGTGTTGGAGCATTCACAACTTCTGGAGGCAGGTTGTTCCACTGGTTAATTGTTTCAACTGTCAGGAAGTTTCTCCTTAGTTTAGATTGCTTCTCTCCTTGATTAGTTTCCATCCGTTGCTTCTTGTCCTGCCTTTGGAGGTGCTTTGGAGAATAGCTTGACTCCCTCTTTTTTGGGGCAGCCCCTGAGATACTGGAAGACTGCTATCATGTCCCCCCTCGTCCTTCTCTTCATTAAACTAGACATACCCAATTCCAGCCACCGTTCCTTGTATATTTTAGCCTCCGATCCCCTAATCATCTTTGTTGCTCTTCTCTGTACTCTTTCTAGAGTCTCAACATCTTTTTTACATTGTGGTGACCAACTGGATGCAGGATTCCAAGTGTGGCCTTACCATGGCCTTGTAAAGTGGTATTAACACTTCAAGTGATCTTGATTCTATCCCTCTGTTAATGCAGCCCAGCACTGTGTGGGCTTCTTTGGCAGCTGCAGCACACGGCTGGCTCCTATTTAAGTGATTGTCCACTAGGACTCTGAGATCTCTCTCACAGTTGTTACTATTGAGCAAGATATTCCCTATGCTATACCTGTATATGTATAGACTACATATTTGTATTTCTGCACAAGACCAAGCCTTAAGAACAAACAAATCCAAAGCCAGAATTGAGAAGACAGCAACCAAACAGCAAATGCTGTCTCTGCAAAGAAGCTGAAGAAACAGTGGACCAACAACTGCTGCAAGGAGATCACCCAGACCGACTGCAAACAACGGTACGACAAAGTAGCCACAACGGTGCATCGGAAGATCTGCAAGAAACACCAGTTGCCTGCAAGCAAGGACTGGTGGGACTACAAAATAGAAAAAAAATCATAGGAAACGAAGAAGCTAAATTGCTCCGGGACTTTAGAACGCAAACAGACAGAGGCACAAAACTCCCCAGACTTAACAATTGTGAATAAAAAAAGGGCAAAAAAAAAAAAAAGTCTGAATAGTGGACGTGGCAGAACCTGGAGACAGCAGAATAGAAGAGGAAAAAAAAAATCATAAAATACAAAGACCTGCAACTAGAAGTGTGGCAAAGGAAAGCAAAAGAGGTCCCAACAGTAATAGGAGCTTTGGGATCAATCCCAAAATATCTGGAACGCCACTTGGACACTCTCGGCAGTGCCACAATCGCCAAAGGCAGTTTGCAAAAGGCAGTTCGACTCGCAACAGCTGACATTTATTTATTTATTAAAATTTATAGACCGCCCCACTCCCGCAGGACTCCGGGCGGCTAACAATAAAAACACAATATACCGCATTTTCCGGCGTATAAGACGACTCGGTGTATAAGATGACCTCCGACTTCGGAGATGATTTGCATGCTTTAGAAAGTCGTCTTATACGCCGGAAAATACGGTAACTTAACAAAACAAACAGTACAGTAACAGTCATCCAGGGGTCAGATTTTATAAACCCCAGGCCTGCCGGAAAAGCCAGGTCTTAAGCAGCTTGCGGAAAACCAACAGGGTGGGAGCGGTCCTAATCTCCGGGAGGAGCTGGTTCCAAGACGTGGGCGCAATCACAGAGAAAGCCCTCCCCCGCGGCCCCGCCAAATGGCACTGCTTGGCCAACGGGACCTGAAGGAGACCCAGCCTGTGGGATCTAACCGGACGAAGGGAACTATGAGGTAGTAGGCGGTCTCGCAAGTAGCCTGGCCCTGAGCCATATAGAGCTTTAAAGGTAATAACCAACACCTTGAATTGGACCCGGAGACCAATAGGCAACCAGTGCAGCTCGCGGAGGATAGGTGTAATGTGGGTGTACCGAGGAACACCCGCTATCACTCGCGCGGCTGCATTCTGGACCAACTGTAGTCTCCGAATACTTTTCAACGGTAGTCCCATGCAGACATCCTGCAATGAGACCTCTAACACCATCACAGAAGCCACATCTCCTTATCCCAGGTCCTTGAGGAGGACCCAATAGGGCAGGGGTCCCCAACCTATGGGCTGTGGCCTACTCCTACCAGCCACCGGGCCGCAGAACAAGCTGGCCAGTGCGCGGACACCTTTGCACGCACTCAACCCCACTCGCGCTAGCACCCACAGACCCATTTGTGCATGTGTGCGGGACTAGCAACAGCGGCTAGTGCCTGCACGCCTACACAAACGGGGCTGCCAGTGCCTTGTGGGTGTGTGTGCGGCCCCGTTTACATGCGCGCGCAAAGTTTCCCAGCTGCTCCCTGTTCTTCCAGGCCGCCAGCGTGAAAAGGTGCAACAGGGGCATAAAAATGCTAAATTCGAGTCTAAACAGCTGGCTGACCTCTGTGTGACCAGCTGCAATGATAATACTACAGGTCGTCCTCGACTTACAAAAGTTCATTTAGTGACCGGCACTGAAAAAGGTGACAGGACCATTTTTCACACTTGCGACTATTGAAACATCCCCACGGTCACGCGATTAAAATTGAGAGGCTTGGCAACTGACGTGTACTTAGGACAGTTGCAGTGTTCCCGGTTGGGTCACGTGATCCCCTTTTGCAAACTTCTGACCAGCAAAGCCAATGGGGAAAGCCAGATTCACTTAACGACCGTGTGACTGACTTACCGACTACAGTGATTCACTTAACAACGGAGGCCAGAAAGATCGTAAAAACGGGGCAAAACCCACTTAAAACGCATGTCTCACTGAACGGCAGAAATCTTGGGCTCAATTGTCGCCGTAAATCGAGGAGGACCTGCGATCGCTTTTTTCTGACTGTCCCCTGTTGATACTTTTTGAAGGCCAGCTGAAAACTACAGGCTGTCCTCGACTTATAACCGTTCATTTAGTAACATTTTGTAGTCGCCACATCATTGAAAATAGTGACTTGTGACCATTTTTCACACTTATGACCGTTGCAGCCTCCCTGGGGAACATTCAGTTGCTTGACCACGGATTCACATTTAGGACAGTCGCGATGTCCCCGGGTGATACGATTCCATTTTGTGTGACTTTCTGACGAGCAAAGCCAATGGGGCAAACCAGATTCGGTTAACAACCGGCAAGAAAAGTCGTAAAGCGGGACAAAATGCACTCCACCCCTGCCTCGCTTAGCCACAGAAAGTTTGGGCTCAACTGTGGTCCTAAGACTACCCATATTTACAACGGTTGCCCCACCTTGGGATTGCAGGACTCCCCCTCCCCATTTACAACTTTTTACAAGCCAGATTCACTTAAGAACCATGTGATTCGCTTAAAGATGAAGCGATTCACTTAACGACCGTGACCACCAAGGACATAAAATCGGGAGGACTTATTTCACAACCACCTCGCTTAGCATCAGGGACCGCAGTCTGAATTGTGGCCGTGCATCAAGGTTTACCTGCGCCTGCAGTCGCATGAGGACTAGAAACTTGCAAAGGGAGGCACGGTCTCCTTCCACCAGCTCAAACCCGGGCCTGAAGCCAGACATCCCAGATGACCTTACCCAAGATCAGAGAGGGGTCTTCCTTGCCAAAGTCTGGAGTGAGGTAGGGGCTGGAGCCCGGTTCCGCAGAGCTGGCGGTCTCTCCGCTTCCGGGGGATGGAGAGACCCCTGCGGCCTCAGGAGCAGGGCAGAGGGGCTTTTCCGCCAAAGTCCTGTCACTCTCTTGAGTGGCGGGGCTGGGGGCTTCTGCTGCCGGCCCCGGGATCTGGTCAGGGGACCCCTCCTCTTCCTTCTCTGGTGTGGGGGTCTCTCCGGGCGCGGGCTCCTGGACAGACGGAGAAGCAGCCGCGGGCTCTCCAGGACTCTGTGCGCTGGGGTCAGCCGGGGTCTCTTCTGGAATATCTCCTAAGCTGAAACAGAGGAGACTGTAGTAATCAGTGCTCAGTCATTGCAGGGTGCAAAAAATGGCTGCTCTCTACGCAGTTTTTATTGTTTATATAGAGTTTATAAGAAGCAAAAGTTTCTACGTGACAATAGCATTTCATTGGCTAAAAGCCTTTACCAATCCTCAAGAGCAGTGGTTCTCAACCTTTTTAATGCCGTTACCCCCAACCGGTCGTGAGTCGAGGACTACTCAACCGGTCGTAAGTCGAGGACTACTCAACCGGTGCAGCACCGTTTGCAGAATGGGACTTTTGGCGGGCTCAGCAGGGCAGAGACAGCCTGGACCATTCCTACTGGCTTTGGAAAGCCAATAGAATTAGACTCTGTTCAAGAGCGTCTATTCTGTTGGCTTTCAAAAGCCAATAGAATAAAAGGGAGTAGCACAGCTAAGGAAAAGGGGGAAAAAATGGCGGACTGCGTTGTTTGGCGACCCCCTGTGAAATGGTCGTTCGACCCCAAATGGGGTCCCGACCCACAGGTTGAGAACCACTGCTCAAGAGTATAAAAGCCAGAGGCCAGAAACAGGGAATAGTTAATAGCATCTTGTTGATGCGAGCTAGCTGTTACCAGACTGGCAAGGTCACACAGACCTGCGCACTTTCATATCACCATGGTGGTGTGCAGGAATGAGATAGATGCAGAGAGGAAGGGCACACAGGCTTTGGAGGGGCACTTTTCTGCACACGACCTTTGCCTGTCTCTCACCTCTACAGGAGACTCGACTGAGATCCTCAGCCCAGGTTTTTAAAAGACCCCAGCCCCAAAGACAGCAGGGTGGGAGAAAGCCGCGAAGGGGGGGGTCTCCCGTAAGGCCAGCCTAGCAATCGGCCCCGTTCAGGTGGGGCCTCCTCCGCCTCTGCTTCCCCTTAAAGTCCTTACCACAACGCGTAATCAAACTCTGGAGGCTTGGCAACTGGCATGAACTTAGGACGGTTGCAGCATCCCCGGGTCACCCTGGGACTCCGTTTTGCGGCCGTCAAAAGGAAGCTGGATTCTCTTAACCACAACCCCGTGGCTAGCTTAATGGCTGCCTCGGTCCGCTGAATGGCCGTGACCAGAGCAGTCGTAAAAATGGGGCAAAGCTCGCTTCACGACTGTCTGGCTTGCCAATAGAAATGTTGAGCTCAGATGTGGTCGTAAGTAGAGGACCACCTGTATGAGCCACAACCAAGGGAAGCCAATAGGAGAGAATGCCAGAGGGACCCAGTTCACAACTTTGGGGTTTTTTTCCTGGATGGTTCAGAGAGTACCAAGGACCCCACAGTCTTCCTCCTCCTTCTTCCTCCACCTCACCCCCCAAGACTGAGCTCCCCACAAGCTACAGCTCTCCTGGATCCTTCTCTTCCTCCTCCTCCTGTCTCATTCTTCCTTCCTCCATCTCCTTTGATTTCCTCATCGTCCTTGTCATTCTCCTCCTCTTTCTCCTCCTCCTCCTGTCTCCATCTTCCTTCCTTCTCCTTCTCTTTCTCTTTTCTCCTTCTCCTCCATCTCTTTGGTTTCCTCCTTCTCCTCCATCTCCTTGATTTCCTCTTCCTCATCCTCCTCTCCCTCCTCCTCGTCTCCATCTTCCTTTTCCACTTTCTCCCTCTCCTTCTCTTTTCTCCTTCTCCTCCATCTCCTTGATTTCCTCCTCCTCCTCTTCCTTCCCTCCTCTCCATCTTCCTCTCCTTCTCTTCTTCTCCTCCTCCATCTCTTTGATTTCCTCTTCCTCGTCATCCTTCTCTCCTTCTTCCTCCTGTCTCCATCTTGCTTCCTTCTCTTTCTCTCTCTCCTTCTCATTTCTTCTTCTCCACCATCTCCTTGATTTCTTCCTCCTCCTCCTCTTCCTCACCTCCTGTCTCCATCTTCCTCTCCTTCTCTTTTCTTTCTCCTCCATCTCTTTGATTTCCTCGTCATCCTCCTCTTCCTCTTCCTCCTGTCTCCATCTTCCTTTCTTCTCTTTCTCCCTTTCCTTCTCATTTCTTCTTCTCCACCATCTCGATTTCCTCTTCCTCGTCATCCTCCTCTTCCTCCTGTCTCCATCTTCCTTCCTTCTCTTTCTCCCTCTCCTTCTCTTTTCTTCTTCTCCACCATCTCCTTGATTTCCTCCTCCTCCTCCTCCTCTTCCTCCCCTGTCTCCATCTTCCTCTCCTTTTCTCCTCCTCCTCCTCCTCCTCCTCCTCCATCTCTTTGATTTCCTCTTCCTCCTCCTCCTCTTCCTCTTCCTCCTGTCTCCATCTTCTTTCCTTCTCTTTCTCCCTCTCCTTCGCTTTTCCCCTTCTCCACCATCTCCTTAATTTCCTCCTCCTCCTCCTTTTCCTCCCGTCTCCATCTTCCTCTCCTTCTCCTCCTCCTCCATCTCTTTGATTTCCTCTTCCTCGTCATCCTCCTCTTCCTCTTCCTCCTGTCTCCATCTTCCTTCCTTCTCTTTCTCCCTCTCCTTCTCTTTTCTTCTTCTCCACCATCTCCTTGATTTCCTCCTCCTCCTCCTCCTCTTCCTCCCCTGTCTCCATCTTCCTCTCCTTTTCTTCTCCTCCTCCTCCTCCATCTCTTTGATTTCTTCTTCTCCACCATCTCCTTGATTTCCTCCTCCTCCTCTTCCTCTTCCTCCTGTCTCCATCTTCCTTCCTTCTCTTTCTCCCCCTCCTTCTCCTCCATCTACTTGATTTCCTCCTTCTCCTTGTCATCCTCCTCCTCCTGTCTCCATCTTCCTTCCTTCTCCTTCTCCTCTCCTTCCTCCTCTACACTTTGCAATAGCTTCCTCATCATCTCAAGGTCCCAGCGTGACTTCATCCCAGCACACGTAGCCTGGAGCAGAAACCCACAAGGAACTGTCTCCGCGTAGAACCCACCCAAACTGCCAAACTGGTTCAAGGGTCTTCCCCTGGTCTTCCCCCCCCCCCAAAAAAAACCCTCCTCTCCCAACTGGTTGAATATCTTCCCAGTCATCTTCACACCTGCACCCCAGTCCATTTGCAAAGATGGACCTATTGCTTCGCTCGTTGTACAGGTAGGCCTATTTGCGGAAGAACCTCCAATCAATGGATGTAGCAGTTGAAGGACGTTACCTGTTCACCTTTGCTGGGCAGCTGAAGCTGTGTTGGATGTGCAGAGGCGTCTGTGGATCATCCTTGGGGTCACCTGGGTGGTCCTTCACTTCCTGGGACTCACCTGGGCTGTCTTCTGCTTTCTCAGCTTGGCCCTGGTCGGTTGGCTTCTCTTTCTCCTGGGCTGGACCTTCTGGGAGTACATGTTCTCCCCCTCCCCCGCTATCCTGCACACTGCTGGTTTCTCCATCCTTCTCCATCCTCTGGATGACTCTCCTGCACCAACGGGGGGTGGGGTCCTGTAGAGATCTCCCAAACTGACCTTTTCCCTTTCCAGAGATTTCAGATCAATTCCTGCAGGAGACAAATCACAGATGAAGGCCGATCAGCAGGTTCCTCCAGGCTACAAGAAGCCAGGATGACTTAGATCAGGTGTCTGCAAACATGGCGACTGTCAACGCTGCAAATATTGTATATTCTTGCTTTTGACAATATGTAGAATTGTCTGGTAATTATGGGGTTAATACAGAGCAGAAGGGGGGTTGGGGGTAAAGGGGGGGGGAAAGAAAGAGGAAGAAAACATTTGACCTTCACACTAATTGGATAGTGTGAGATATGAGGCTAATTTAGGGAGGGAACATGCTGATAATTTAACTGCTCAGAGGAAGAGAACTTAGATCCTAGCATCCCTCCGTTGTGTCTGTGCCGACATTTTGTAACATTAAAAGACTTTTAGGAAAATAAATGCCTGGAAGTTCTTTGAAGTATTTCATTAGCCGGAACCATAACAGCGACTTTAAGATGTCTGGACTTCAACTCCCAGAATTCCCTGCCCCACGTGCTATAGTCGTCTTTCTGGGGCTTAGCGTGTCGTGTGAATGCAACTCTAACCAATCAACCCTTAAAAAAAAACAACTGGGCAATTTGGAAGAGGGCTGTCATATCCTCACCACCCTGGATTGAAGGAAAGTCATAAAATGGGGCAAAACTCACTTAGCAAGATAAAGCGTCTACTTCTGTCCTACTAACACAGCACCATTGAGAATGTCCTGACATACGGCATTCTTGCATGGTATGGAAGTAGCTCTGTAGAGCAGTGGTTCTCAACCTTTTTAATGCCGCGACCCCCAACCGGTCATAAGTCGAGGACTACTCATCCGGTCGTAAGTCGAGGACTACTCAACTGGTGCAGCACCATTTGCAGAATGGGACTTTTGGTAGGCCCAGCAGGGCAGAGACAGCCTGGACAATTCCTATTGGCTTTTGAAAGCCAATAGAATTAGACTCTATTCAAGAGAGTCTATTCTATTGGCTTTCAAAAGCCAATAGAATAAAAGGGAGTAGCACAGCTAAGGAAAAGGGGGAAAAAATGGCGGACTGCGTTGTTTGGCGAACCCCGTGAAATGGTCGTTCGACCCCAAATGGGGTCCCGACCCACAGGTGGAGAACCGCTGCTGTAGAGGATAAAAAAGCTCTACAGAGAATCATTAAAACTGCCCAGAATATTATAGGATTTCAGCTACCAGCCCTGGACAACATCTTCGAATCTCGTTGTTTGAAGAAATTGTATAACATTCTCAGGGACTCTTCCCATCCTGCTTACAATCTTTTGGGACTGTTGCCTTCTGGCAGAAGATACAGAATAATTAAAACTCGGACCACACGTTTTCTGAATAGTTTTTATCCCAGAGCTATAATTGCACTCAACAATGAACTAAAAGGCCACCATCAGTGAACTGTTGGACAGTATTACTTGGTCTGTTGGGTGGATGTTTGGGTGGTTTTAGGGGTGGGGAATTGGGGTGGGTGGGAGTATGTTTGGGGATTATGTGTGTGGGACCTGGTCTTTGGGTGTCAAGTAAATTTTGTTGTATGTGTACACTGTGTATACACGTACAATGACAATAAAGTTTTATTATTATTATGGATCATCGCACAGTCAGCCAGATGTTCAGACTGGATTTGGCATTTTGTCTACCTATCGATTACTTACCCAGGACCTGGGATAGGCAGATGTGGATGTTTGATGGTATTACAGATATCGCCGCAGGATGGAAGCAGTTCCTAGTAAGGCCGCCTTTTGCAATTGACTAATGGCGAATTTGTCAATGCCAATGGTGTTCAAGGGGTGCTCCAGTTGTTTTGGGATTGCACCCAAGGAGCCTATGACTATTGGTACTACCCTTGCTTGCTTTTGCCACAGTCTTTCTATTTCTATTTGTAGGTCTTTGTATTTTGTTATCTTCTCCAGTTCTTTCTCTTCTATTCTGCTATCTCCAGGCACTGCCACGTCCACTATCCAGACTTTTTTGTCTTTCTTATCGACAATTGTTAAGTCTGGGGTGTTATGTTGCAGGTCTGTTTGAATTCTGAAGTCCCAGAGCAGTTTAATTTTATCATTTTCTATGACTTTCTCTATTTTATGATCCCACCAGTTTTTGTTTGGGTGGTTTTAGGGGTGGGGAATTGTGGTGGGTGAGAGTGTGTTTGGGGATTATGTGTGTGGGACCTGGTCTTTAGGTGTCAAGTAAATTTTGTTGTATGTGTACACTGTGTATACACATACAATGACAATAAAGTTTTATTATTATTATTATTATTATGGATCATCGCACAGTCAGCCAGATGTTCAGACTGGATTTGGCATTTGTCTACCTATCGAGTCCTTACCCAGGACCTGGGATGGGCAGATGTGGATGTTTGATGGTATTACAGATATCGTCGCAGGATGGAAGCAGTTCCTAGTAAGGCCGCCTTTTGCAATTGACTAATGGCAAATTTGTCAATTTGCCATTATTATTATTATATTATATTATATTATATTATATTATATTATATTATATTATATTATTTGGGGTCGTACGTTGATGTCAAAATATTGCAAGCCCCTGCTTCGATTCAAAGCCACACTTCTCTACAGCTTCCCTGTTTGTAGACCAGGATTAATTCTGGATGAGTATGAGATGACATCATGTTGGGAACAAGTAGAATTGTTCAGCAAGATTGTCTTAATATAGTTCAGCCATTCTTTCTGGTAGGAAACCAGAAGCAAAGGCGTTTTAAAAGGGAATAATTCAATGCCCTCATCCGCCACCCCACTGATTAAGGAATCATTTCTCCTTTGAGGTTGGTTAATCAATAAATTATGCCCAGGAGGGCACCTTACCAACCTACTGCCCTTTTAAAGGTATTGCTTTACTCCACCGTTGGCGCAGACGCTTTAGGAAAACTCCTTGTTGCATAAAGTGGCATTTTGCCTCCGGTTGCTACCGAATTTCGCCGCCTTCCTTTCTCGATCGGTTAACTCTTTTCTCGCTAGTTTGCAATCGTTCCGTGGCGCGGGAAGCCACGCCATGGGCCAGAAAAGTAAGACCATCCGGTCCCTGAAACCTCTGCACACAGCCGCAGACAATATTCTACTTTTCCAAAACTTTGTAACGCGCCCTAGAAAGATCCCAGCATGGAGGGCATTTAGAGTTGTCGTCGCCAGGAGCTGCCGCCAACTTGATGGCAGATCATCCGTCCGTCGAGAAAACCCAGAGAGGTGCAGCTTAGCGCCGGTCAGAGGGGTTTGAGTTCAAAAAAAGTGGGCAACCTCTAGGTTCCAGAGGCTGGCGACTAGGTTGGAGCCAGAAGCTGGCCAGGAGGCACCACCGAGGCCCCCACGAGGGGCCTTGTCTTCTCCTAGCCATGATCCCCTCTAGCAAATCTCACGAGACACAAAATGAAGGTCGAAGGAAAGACTCACCCCTGGTTGCCTTCCTTCCACTGAGCCAACCTTGGCTTGATCTCGCCTTGCCCAACCGCCCTCCGAAGGATTTGGTTGAAGATCTCCAGCAGGTTCTGGAGATGTTTCGGATAGAGCAGCCCACCGCAGACGTGTGCAGTGGGACCCTTGCCTGTCCACACCAACTGGGCTTGTGCAAGAAAAGGCTTCTCTTTGGGGACTCCCCTCCTCCCAAACCAGCTCGTGGAGGCCACCTCAGCTGGAGTTGACCTGGGCAGGTAACCCTGAGTGAGGAGCCCTGCAAGGAACTCACCAAGAGGCCGAGAGCAGGGATGTCCTGAGCCCTCCGTGTGGCCCTCTTTGCCACCCCTGGGCAAGGCCACCGAGCAGCAGACGCCAATGTCCTCCGTCGGAGAGGGTCTTCCGTCGCGTCCCCTTCTATACCCCGTGTCCCAGAGCAGGGAGAGGGAAGTCTCTTTTACCCAAGGCGTTGGGCAGAATTATGAGCTCGCTGCTGCTCACTTGTCTCTGTGGCCACCTGTTCTCGCTGGCCCCGGTTCAAAGGACAATCCATTCTGCTGCCTGCCGGCCTCCCAGGCTGGACGGGAAGAGAATTTCAGCAAACAGAAATCAGAAAACGACACACTATCCTCCACGAACTCTTGACGCCCGTCAAACCGGATTTTCCTCCGGTGGTGGCAACAAGCCCTTCAGAAGCTTCAAGGGAGGTGAGCAGGCGGGGAGATGCGGGGGTTATTTCAGGGCTCAGAGCAGACCCCAGACCTCCCAGATGGCTTTGGGTTTGAGCCAGGCAAGCGGCATGGAATTGCTCCTCTTTTCGATGGGTAGGATGGGGCCACGTTGGCAGGGAGTAGGGTCCAGAGATCGGGAAGGAAAACGACAGACAGCTTGGAGACTGGATCGGTTAGGCCCATGTTTTTCAACCTTGCCAGCTTTAAGAGGGGTGGGCTTCAGCTCCCAGGATGCCCCAGCCGTCGTGTTTTAAGATACATGGACTTCAACTCCCAGAATTCCACAGCTAGACCAGTATTTTTCAACCCTGGCAACTTTAAGAAGTGTGATGTCAACTCCCAGAATTCCCCAGCCATCATGTTTTAAGATAAGTGGACTTCAACTCCCAGAATTCCCCAGCCATCATGTTTTAAGATAAGTGGACTTCAACTCCCAGAATTCCCCAGCCATCATGTTTTAAGATAGATGGACTTCAATTCCCAGAATTCCCCAGCCATCATGTTTTAAGATAGGTGGACCAACTCCCAGAATTCCCCAGCTGGCATAGTTTAAGATGAGTGGGCTTCAACTCCCAGGATTCCCCAGTCGTCGTGTTTTAAGATACATGGACTTCAACTCCCAGAATTCCACAGCTAGTCCAGTATTTTTCAACCCTGGCAACTTTAAGAAGTGTGACGTCAACTCCCAGAATTCCCCAGCTGGCATAGTTTAAGATGGGCGGACTTCAATTCCCAGAATTCCACAGCTAGACCAGCATTTTTCAACCCTGGCAACTTTAAGATCTATGGACTTCAACTCCCAGAATTCCCCAGCCAAATCGGTGTTTCTCAACCTTGGCGACGTTACAATAAGTGGACTTGAACCCTTAGAATTCTGGGAGTTGAAGTCCACTTACCTTCAAGTTGCCACGGTTGAGAACCATTGAGAAACATCGCACAAGGCAGTAGCTGTGTACCATGCAAGATCATCTGTACTAGTGAAGCTTCCCCACTGGTGTTCCAAATGTTTGGCCAACAGGCCCTTCAACTTCTTTCCTTACTTCCCCCCAAATCAGTGCTTGTCGTGGCAAAAAGCCAGATTCTGTGTTGAAGATGGAGCTTCTTGTGGAAAGAAAGTATTGTGGGAAAGCTTCTTGATCCCTGAAAGAAACGGACAAAAAGATGACCAGTAGCAAGGTGGATGGACCCAATTACAGTGGTGGTGAAGGCATCGTTGGAAGATCTGGTGTTTCTGATGGTGGAACAGGTAGGGCACAGTTCATCCTGGAGAACATCCTGGATATCTACGTAGTCACCAAGACTCAACAATGAACTGATGGAACATCAGTCAACCAGCACAAAGACCATGGCCTCTGGAGAAGTCTACTATGCTGGAAGGAAAGAGAAGAAGACGGTGACCAACAGTGAGGTGGAGGGACTTAGTTACTCAGTGGCTCTGTTGGAAGTCCTAAAGGAACAAGTTGAAGACAGATTGTCTTGGAGAATCTTTGAGAAGATCTACCTATGTGGTTGCTAAGAGTCAACGGTGGAAAATAATCCATCAATTTGAAGACCCAACTTTCTGGAGAAGGCTGTAAAGTTGTGCAAGATGAAAGAAAAGAGAAGAAGACGACGACCAGCAGTGAGGTGGAAGGACTCAGAGTAGTGATGGGGTCACCATTAGGAGATCTGAAGGACCAAGTTAGGGACAGATTATCATGGAGAAAAATCTATCTACTGCATGTGGTCACCAAGAGTCAACAATGACTTCACAGTTGATGGCACACCATCAAGTGTGACAATATGTAAGAGCATGTAGTTGTGGTGGGAGCACCATTAGGACACCTGAAGGACCAGATTAGGCCCAGATCATCCTAGAGGATGATTCATATATGGCAGCTAAGAGCCAAGAGTGACTTGATGGCACCATCATTTAAGACCATAATGCTGGGAAAAGTTGACTCATTACACAAAATCAAATTTGACTGCCTTTGAGGGGCTGCCACAAGAAAGAGGGGGTCACATTATTCTCCAAAGCACCAGAAAACAAGACAAGAAACAATGGATGGAAACTCATCAAGGAGAGAAGCAACCTAGAATTAAGGAGAAACTTCCTGACAGTGAGGACAATTAGTCAGTGGAACAGCTGGCCACCAGAAATTGTGGGCGCTCCATCACTGGAGATCTTTAAGAAGAGATTAGACAGCTGTTTGTCTGAAATGGTGTAGAGTTTCCTGCATGAGCAGGGGGTTGGACTAGAAGACCTCCAAGTCCCTTCCAGCTCTATTCTGATGGATGGAAAAGTTCTGATTGAAAGCAGAAGAAAAGAAAGAGAAGAGGATGATCAAGATGGGGGGAACTCAGTTATAGTGGTGATGGACACACCACTGGAAGACCTGAAGGACCAGGATGGGGATAGACCAACATGAAGAAAATCTATCTATGTGGTCACCAAGAGTCGACCATGACTTCATACTTGATGGGACATCATCAAGGGCAACAACATATAAGAGTGAGGGGCAGCACCATTAGGACACCTGAAGGACCAGGTTGGGCACAGATCATCCTAGAGGACAATCCACACGGTTGCTAAGAGTCAAGAGTGACTTGATCGCCTCATGAGTTAATGTCAGGACCAAGTTCTTTTGAGAAGTCCATAGTGCTGGGAAAAGTGGAAGGAAGGAAAGAGAAGAAGAGAAGGATGATCAAGGTGGAGGGATTCCGCTACAGTAGCGGTGAGGGCACCATTGGAAGACCTGGCATTTAGGAACAGATCATGATAGCAGTATTCCAATATCTCAGGGGCTGCCATAAAGAAGAGGGAGTCAAGCTATTCTCCAAAGCCTCTGAAAGCAGGACAAGAAGCAACGGGTGGAAACTCATCAAGGAGAGAAGCAACCTAGAACTACGGAGAAACTTCCTGACAGTGAGAACAATTAACCAGTGGAACAACCTGCCTCCAGAAGCAGTAAATGCTCCAACACTGGAAGTTTTTAAGAAGAGACTGGACAGCCATTTGTCCAAAATGGTACAGGGTTTCCTGCCTGAGCAGGGGGTTGGACTAGATGACCTCCAAGGTCCCTTCCAACTTTACTACTATTACATATTCTCCAAAGCGCCTGAAGGCAGGACAAGGTTGCTAAGAGCTGACATTGACTTCATGGCACATCAATGAATCAACCAACCAACCAACGTGAAGACCCATCTCCTTTGAGAAGGCCATAGTTTTGGGGAAAGTGGAAGGAAAGAGAAGACTGGAGGACCATCAGTAAGGAGGTGGACTCAGATACAGTGGTGGGTGAGTTACTGTTGGAAGACCTGAAGGACCAGGTTAGGGACACATTGTGATGGAGAATGTCTATCTATGGGATCGCTAGGAGTCAATACCAGGAGGAGGAGGAGGAGGAGGAGGAGGAGGAGGAGGAGGAGGACGACGACGACGACGACAGTGGTGCTTTCTGAGCCTGGTTGTTTTCTTGCAGACGTTTCATGACCCAACTAGGTAACGTCATCAGTGCTAGAAGGAAGTGGAGTTTGTGGAGGAGGAGGAGGAGGAGGAGGAGGAGGAGGAGGAGGAGGAAGAAGAAGAGGAGGAGGAGGAGGAGGGGGAGGAGGACTGTGGGGTCCTTAGTGCTCCCTGAACTTGGATCTTTTCTTGCAGACGTTTCATGACCCAACTAGGTAACATCATCAGTGCTAGAAGGAAGTGGAGTTTGCGGAGGAGGAGAAAGAGGGGGAGGAGGACTGTGGGGTCCTTGGTGTTCTCTGAGCTCTGTTGTTTTCTTGCACTTTTCATGACCTAACCAGGTGCTAGAAGGAAAAGTGTGTGTCAATTTTTATGGTGTCTGAAACGACAAGGAAGAAGGGGAACCAATGGTGAGTGTCGTAAACACGCCGGAAGATGCTTCTTGTGGCTTTGCAAGATGTTTATTTATTTTTCACATTTAAAGAGGCTGCAGCTGTTTGTTTTATTTTGATCGTTTCCATGTTTTCCTTGCAGGGGGAATAAATTGCAGCCGTTGCTATTTTTAATGCGTTAACTCCACCCAGACGTTTAAGGCATCTGGTTTCTTCACAGGCTTTTGAGAAGAAAAAAGCCAGCAATTGTTTTCCAGAATTTGCTGCAGAATGACTGGGGAGGGGCAGACCCAAGGCATTCCCACATAATAATAATAATAATAATAATAATAATAATAATAATAATAATAATAATAATAATAAAGCTGTTGCAAGAAGATTGCACAGACTGATTACAAGCAGCGGCATGACAAAGTAGCAACAATGGTGCATTGGAAGATCTGCAAAAAATATCACTTGCCTGTAAGCAAAAACTGGTGGGATCATAAAATAGAGAAAGTCATAGAAAATGATAAAATTAAACTGCTCTGGGACTTCAGGATTCAAACAGACAAGCACCTGCAACATAACACCCCAGACTTAACAATTGTCGATAAGAAAGACAAAAAAGTCTGGATATTGGACGTGGCAGTGCCTGGAGATAGCAGAATAGAAGAGAAAGAACTGGAGAAGATAACAAAATACAAAGACCTACAAATAGAAATAGAAAGACTGTGGCAAAAGCAAGCAAGGGTAGTACCAATAGTCATAGGCTCCTTGGGTGCAATCCCAAAACAACTGGAGCACCACTTGAACACCATTGGCATTGACAAATTCGCCATCCTGCAACGAGGTCTGTAATACCATCAAACATCCACATCTGCCTATCCCAGGTCCTGGGTAAGGACTCGATAGGTAGACAAAATGCCAAATCCAGTCTGAACATCTGGCTAACTGTGCGATGATCCATAATAATAATAATAATTGGGAGCTGGGTTAGAGAGTTGCCACTTTTCCTCTGGAGATAGTGCCCCAAAGCAAACCAGGTTGCTGAACCAATGGCAGTATATATATATATATATACTGCTCACAAAAAAAAAAGGGAACACAAATGT